TGGCTTTCCGGGGGCCACACACAGAGTCTGGTGTCCACAGTGCTGTAGCCAAGCAGTGCCACCAGACAAACGATCCACAGTAAACTGCAGCTGATTAATATTTCATTGGTATCATCTCACGGGGGGTGAGGGTGGGGGTGTGAAACTTCATCGTGCATATTCATCACGTCCCTTGGTGCTGGCGGAGATGAGGCAGAGGCGAGACGCGTCTCGCCCATGGCGCGCCGGGGGTCAGCTGATCCGGACGGGGCTTAACCTCGAAGACGTGGCTGCTGAAGAGCGTATCGCCACAGCTGTGCGGACGCAGAGTCAAAAATGCATCTCCCGGTGTTTCTTTTTTTTCCCCTGTACCGAGTCCCTCTCTGCTCTCTGGATTTTACCAGCACATAACTTTTTCCACTGCGGCCTTGCGGGCTGTCAAACTCAAGGGGTTATATAACAGAGGAAAGTGGCATCCAGCTAAATATGTTATTGGGAGATAAGAGAAAAAGAGCCAGATGATCGAATTAAATGAGGATCTTCCCCTGTCTCACCACAGGGTGGACGGATAAGTCTCAGAGGGACACGGGCTGCCGGCCGGAGCCTCCATTTTTGTTCGAGCGAGCGTCTTTGACTGGAGGACATATCTCTTACTCTCTCCATGCATGTACATTGGTTGGGTCGCTGACTCGCGTTTTGGCCTCTGGGCTTCGAGATCCACAAATGAGATTTTGAACCGGAGGATAGAGTGGCTTGACATGGGAAGGGCACAAATACTTCTGAACAGCATAAAGATTCACAAAGAACCAACAGTTGTCTAGGGACTAGGGTTCAAACTTCTCTCCAACCTTACAGTATGTCTCACAGCAGACAGCTTAAAAAGCCACAATCATCAGCACCTCATTTTTTTAAATGAAGTGTGACCTTATTAAAAGATATTAAAGTGTACCTCACAGGATGATTCGACTGGGAGCATGACTTAAATTTAATTCATTTAATAAGGCTCACTGCGTTCTACCAGCTGGATTATTTTAATAGGAATAATTCTAGTATAAATATATCTATACCAACAGGAGAGGACACAGGCCCCTAACTTGAAGGTTGCTTGTTCAAGTCCCAGGAGGCAGATCCTGCTGTTGTACCCTTGAACCGGACGCTTCAATCGCTGCAGTGAGACGACCAGCTGTATTAAGGGGTAGGAACTGAAAGTCACTTTGGAGAAAAAAATGTCAAATAAGCAACTAAATGGGAAAAACAGTAATTAAAAGGTTTTCAATCCCACTGCCCTGTAGTGCTCTTTGTGGACAGAGCCGGGCCTAACACGGAGACGGGCTAGAAGGTGGCTTTATTTAGAGCAGACGACCTCTGGATTGGAAAGCAGCAAAACAATGTTCTGACATGATATACAAGCTGATAACGTTGACAGGGGCTGGACGGAGCGGCTTCCGCATGCCACGGCTCTTATCACCTCTTTGCCATCGCCGGATCGTTTTGCGGCATGGCCCAGACCTTGGTGTTTTATCAGAGCACCCCGGCAGATTTAGCGCCCCCATAGTTTCTCGACTTAATTACACGACCTGAAGCCAAGGTCGAGCTTCAGTGAGGCCATAAAAGTGTGGTAAAGGGTGCGAGCGGCGGTTAGGCTAAGAGGCCACACCGAGCAGCTGGCTGACTCAGGAGACTGATGGGCCGCTGGATGCAGTCTGCGTTGTGAAGAGCCTGTTCTCCTTTTATCGCCCTATTAATCTGCTATTAACCGGCTCCTGCGAGCTCGTTTGCGGGCAGTTTAAAAGCCATTGTGAATCGCAGCTGGAGAAGCGCAGCCTTCGCGGGAGACGAAGGCCGTTCCCGCCCTCTTTCGCGGAAAAGACCGGAGCCTGGTGCCGGGGCCACGGCTTAAAGATGCTCAGCCCTGCCAAGAAGCTCAAGGTCACATGCTCCTAAGCAGCACACGCTCCCGTTACCAAGTGCCTAAAAACACACTGCTATAATTAGTGTTTCAGATAATGCCTCAGTGCAAAGGACCCTTTCGATACAGCAGGATCTTTTCACTGGTTGGATTTGAGTTAAGGTCCTTGCTTAAGGGTATGACTAGGACCCTTTACAGAGCTTAAGCTAGCCACCTTGGAAGTGGTTGGTGTCTTAGAGGCGCATGTCCCATCATCTTCACAGGATTCTAGCGTATCAAACATCTATGCAAAAGTGGAAATTTCAGGTCCAGAAAGTACAAATCCCGACCAAGATTTTGTTTCAACTAACCAGTTGAGTACTCTGTGACTGTGACTCTTTATGCTGAAATGGTTGGTTGAAAGTAAATTATGGTCTAGATTTTTACTTTCTGGACCTGAAATTGCCACCTCTGCATCTACGATAAAGTCCAAACGTGCTGCTACCACAAAGCACAACTGGAGCCTGTACACATCCTCCATTTGCACCTGCTCTGTTTCAAGAAGCTGGCATGTCCAGGCACCAATATGGCAGAATCATCACCCTTTTCGCTCAGTCATCAATCATGGCCGGTTTCCACGGCGATCTGTAATCACGATGACTAGAGTTGTAATTACCCCTGATTGTTAGAATTTTTTTTTTGTCCCCTCATGGATAACCCGCTGTGGCTGCCTTTCTGTGGCCGGGAGGATCTGGGAAAACTGTATTTTGCGAGATTGATATTTACAGTTTGGGGAGTGACTGATGGCTCTTGAGTTTCCACACTCAAGGGAATCTCTGCATCTCTCTCTGTCTCTCTCTTTGACTTGAACTCTCTCTCTCTCTGCCTCTTTCTCCCTCTCTTTCTCTTTGTATCTCTCTTGGTCTCCATTTCTCACTCCGCCTCTTTCTCCATCTCTCTTTCTGTCTCTCCATCAGCCCCTCCTTCCATTTCTCCCATATCTATCTCCTTCTAATGCAAAGTCTACACCCTCCATCGGTACATGCAGCTCATGGATCCAGAAACCAGCCGGGGAGAACAGAGGGGGTTAACTGTCTGTTCTACAATGACACCATGACCTGCTGATGGCACCCCCTCCGACCTCCCTCTAGGCACAGAGCCTTGCATATGGAGAATCTGGTACAAGACCCCACCCCCATGATATCTAGGAGCTCCTGGTGTTGAGAAAGGCTTAGGACTCGTCCAGGATCACAGGATGCCCCTGTTTATACAGATTGCTTCAGGGACCAGAACTGCCAGCAGGGAGTGCCAGGAAAATCGGTCCGCCCTCTGTCTCATAAACATTGAGAGGCTGGCTTGTCACACTGAGATGCGACTCGCCTCCTTATGTTTAGGCCTGTGACTGTTTTCCATTCATTTCACTGCACAAAACTGAACTTAGTCCTGAGAGGGCAGCTTTATTAAATTATTAATTGGATACTGTGATATCACTCCGACTGGTGGGGAGGGACATCTGGCCCCCATCAATCAGCTGGGCAAGGCTGGGGTTGCATTCCTGTAATGCTAAGGAATTCCTGTGTCAGCCTTTTCACGCGTGATAAACTCTAAATGGTCAGAAAGGTCATGGGTCTAGATTTAAAAAGAATAAGTTTGCTTAAAAAATTGGATTTGTAAATGCTCTGTGGCTGTTTGCATCCTATAACTCCAATATCAGACTCCTGCCACCCCTACACAACGTACACACAACATACAAGGTACTGGGTGGGAGGGGCTTCCGTTTGCTGATGGGTACCCCCGGTGACATTACATGAATATTGAGATGTAGGCAGCGTGTTTCAGTTCACAACAAGTCTCTTTTCAGCATGGAAGCCGTTAATCATGTGTCACCCCCCCCCAAATTGACATGAAGGTCTGGCTTGGTTCCACTCGGAGAAACGGCTTTAAGCTTCTGGCGAAGAGCCGAGCCTCAAACAACAGGACGTCAGATTTAAAAAAATATGTCACCTGCTTCCCAAACCACACTTAAAGATCCACCATTTGAGGTAGAGCAAACACTGCACATGTGTAGATCACACACCCTTGCCCACAGTGATCTACGCAGTATCTGGCCCATGTTGATGACACGGGCCCCGACCCAAACTAACAACACAGGACCCTGTCCATGCTGACCTACACAGAATCTAGTCCATGCCGCCGACACAAAACCCCGCCCACGCTGATGGCACAAAACCCAACCCATGCCGACGACACAGAACCAAACCCATGCCGACGACACAGAACCCAGCCCATGCTGACCTACACAGAATCTAGTCCATGCCGACGACACAAAACCCCACCCACGCTGATGGCACAGAACTCAACCCATGCTGACGACACAGAACCCAACCCACGCTGATGGCACAGAACATAACCCATGCTGACGACACAGAACCCAACCCACGCTGATGGCACAGAACCCAACCCATGCTGACGACACAGAACCCAACCCATGTGTGATCACTTTAACATGGCATGCAGCTGACAGCCAGGCTTAGCGGCCGCCTTATCTTTGGTGCGGCTGGAGCAGTAAGCCCCCCTTTACGGAGGCCGAGGAGCAGGGAGCCAGCTGCACACTTACAACACTGCAAACCTTTCATGAGCTACCAGGACATTTAAAGGCCACGTACTCTAAAGAATCACCTCTTCCTTAAAGGCTTCCTTACTCTGTGTCACGCTATTCAGGAACCACTGGGAAGCTGCTGAATGTATTACTGCCAGAGACTATCCGGCCTACATCCAGTGTGTATCGAGTTGCTGAAAGAAAATGCACTAATACTGGGATGGGTGAACGAAGTGGATTATCCCTTCAGCTTCCAGAACCATTTCCAACACAGTGCTGCAGTGTGCATGGAGCCTATACCAGGGAACACAGGATAGAGAACATCCTAGACGGGATGTCAGTCCATCACTGGGTACTATCACACCATATGGGCAAACTGGTCTAACGACAGACTTTTGGATTGTGGAAGAAAACTGGAGTATCCACAGGGACAAACCCGGGAGAAAATGCAACCGTCACATGGGCATGACTCAAACTCCAAGGCAGTTATAAACTAAAGAATATAGACGGGCAAGTGTGAAATAAGGGACTGACCTGCTGGGGCTCCCTGGGTGTGGGCTGCTTCCCCTGGCGACTGGAAGCGGTGGTGGTAGTGATCTCCACAATGGAGGTGGAGGTTTCTGAGCGGTTGGCGGTGGCGCTGGACTGCGGCGTGATGGACGAAGGCGACTCGCCGACCAGCCGCACACTGCCCTCGATCTTGATGTTGGGGTCGTTCTCCAGTGCCATGTTGAACACCTTGAGGCCATTGTAGTAGAGGCCGGACAGCTGGCCCTGGAATGGCCGACTGCGGTCCTTGCCCCCAATCTTAATGGTGGTTTGACTGTTGAAGATAGTGAGCTGGCGGCCTATGGAGAAACAACGTTACACACATACGAGAGCGTTGAAGCGTTGCCCGCCACCACTCCCAGGGGCGAACAGAGAAACGCGGCGATGAGAAATAATCACGCCGCCGAAGGAGACGGATTATTTGCCCAGTGGCTAATGAGGGCGATAAATTAGCCATCGCCGTTTTCTGGCACGAGTAATTTATCGCCTGTTCCAATGATGGGTTGCCTTGTGAAATGTAGATTCAAACAAAAAAAAGAGAAAAAATACTCTTAAATCAATGTAACTTTGCTAAAAGGACAATCAATTTGATGATAAAACATTTTCGGGGGGAAAAAATGTAATTAATCCTGTTAACTGCTGAATTCTTGCTAGAGAGACTGTAATTGAAAGTGCCGGAACATTCAGTGTATGTAGCTAATTCACTTTCTCAGTTAATAAGAGCATCTTGAAAGGAAATTTTTCATATATGATTACAGCCATTCTGTTTTGTAATATCTGTATGAAGGAAGAGTGGAAAAAAATGCATACTCTTTTTCACTTCTGATTTGTCATTTTTTTTTAACTAGAATTAATTGACCAGCAGTAATGAGTTATTCTCAGCACTCAGACTCTTTTTGAGTATGATTATTGAAGTGGTTGGTGTCTTGTGTGGATAGGGCAGCACATAGCTCGGACACGCCCAGATTGTCTTTTAGCAAAGGGGATGCAGGAATGCAAACGTTCGGAACTGTGTACGACATGGCTTCAAAGATGTGACGTTTGCAAAAACAAAATGAAAGAGAAAAAACACTAAATGAATGGATCATTCATGGCACTAATTCCGTTTGGAAAACGAAAAACAAGACAAACTTCGAATCAAAACAACATAATAAAACACCATGGAATAATTTTAATTTGAGAAAAAATCTTATTTTCTTACAAAACACATAAAAAAGGCATGCAGCAAAAAATCTGTGTTTTGATTTTTTAAAATACATTTTCTTTTTCTTATTCCCATCTGTATATTTACAATATTTGTTAAAGGGACTCCATTTCATATGCCAATTAATATTGCACTCTATTTAAGATATAGCGCTCAGTTTAAACAGTGGGGTTTTCATGATCCATACTAAAAACAACATACATGTATCTGTATATGTAACTATAAGTATAAATATGTAAATATAAATATATAGGTATATATATATATATATACATATATATATATATATATATATATATATATATATAAAATCCTCAATAAATATAAATGTAAATCATTTGCTAATTGGACTTTTAGTTGACCATTTAGATGTTTACAGCAAGAAAACCAAACTATACATAATTTAAAGATTTTGTTTGTTAATACTGTTAATATTACTTCAGGAAGTTGAGTTAGAATTATATTTACAGTCCCTTTAACCTGAAGTTAACAGAAAATGCGTATTAATCAGCTGGCACCTCTTAATAGAAGAATATTATGCAAAAGTGTCCAAATATTACAATCTAAATTTTGCTGTACTGTTTTAAATGTTTTTGTTTTATTTAGTTTTACTGAACATTTATATTTTTTAGGTTTATTGGTGTTACAAAGTATCTCTTGGTTATGTTCAAATTATTTTTATTTGAAGTTTTAATCAATGTTTTTACCTTTGTCGAGTAGCCATTCGTCAACTACTCGACCAAGTCGATATGGGATTCGCTGTCTAGCAATCGCCAGGCGTTCGTTATCAATGTTGCCTTTAAAGTTTAAAGAGACATTTCATTGGTTAAAATCTGTAAGGTCAAAGGTTAAAGGTTAATACTTAAAGCTTGAGCTATACAACTGGCACAAGAGTTTTTTTTGTAAATTTTTGAAGTTTAAAAACAAAGCTACCTACAACATTTCATCGATCCAACTTTTCATTCAAATCATTTAAGTTTTATTTTAAGCAAACAAATTATTCCTATATTAATTGAGAATTAGCACGCTGCATTTTCATCTAGGTTAATTAAAGTTATATACCAACCCAAGCCACAAATTTAAACATATCCATATCCAGAGCTTTGCAAAATAAATCACTGAATTTTTTCTTCCTTTTTTGGCAAATTTTTAGCTAGTTAAACTTCTCAAAACACCTTTTTTGAAAGTTATTGTTTGTATAATACATTCAGCCTGTTGCACTCAGTTAGACATTTAGATCAGAGCACAAAATGCATACAGATCAGGCTTGTACACCTTCATTAAGAAAGGGCACTAATTAGCATTAGCAGGCAGCAGTAACGTAACAGCAAATTCAGCAGCCGAAGGTCCTTAGAAACATTCAGATTGAGAGAGTAAACAAATAGTTAGGCAGCCAAAATAGGACAAAAATAAAGAATCAGACTGAATAGCTAGCCTGGGTGGAATTCATAAGGCTTTGACAAAAGCTTCAGACAAAGAACCATGTGAGTATACTGGGCGTAACTCCTGCAAGTCTGCGATCGTGGAGAAGTCTCAGTTTATGCCACATGCCCGTGTGGAACACCGGGATCTATAATTGAGTTAATTAACAATATCCCACTAGCAATCTCCCCACATGTTACACGAATTCACCTCTGCACCCCATGGATTTTAATTCTTGTAAATATGCACAGCAGTTTCATAACAGCCTCTAAATAATTACAACTTATACCTCGCTGAGTGAAACACAAGGCGGAACACGAAAAGGCCTTTTCAGTTTAATTATACTGTAGCTCTCCCTAGCGTGTAAGAAGCTTGCCGGGTGTCAGGCGCATGAAACTATGATTTCTCCGGTCTGGGGCAGGTCTGAACATAATTCCGGTGAGCTGGAAAATGCATCTGAGTGCATTACCACATAAATTTAGATGGATAAGCAGGTGTAAAATATACATTATAAATATCCACATGCATCAGCAAAGCACACCATGATTCTGTACGAGATAAAGGGCTGGAGAATGGCGGGATGGGTAGCTGGATGGATAAACAAACAAAACTACTGAACTAGCCAAATGGGGAACCAGGAGATTCTGTTGGGGCACTGGTAGGTGTGATGTGGACAGCACGTGTGTGCAGTTGAGGGGGGGGGGGGGGGGGGGGGGTCGTCACTGGGTCTGGAAGCATAACCGGATTCCCCAAGCGGCAGCAGTATGACATTGTCTCCCCTAGATTGAATCCCAGGATGCCTCATTCTTCCAGGAGATTGACAGTGCTGTCCCTTCCAGCCGAAGTAATTCTGTCTGAGGAGCTAAGGTCCAGGCAGGTAACAGTAATTTAGTGGGAGTCAAGGAGGGTTACCGGGGAGAGGACGGTGTGGCAATCATGCCCAAATTCTGACCGGTTGAAATGGGGGGGGGGGGGGGAGGGGGGTGCAGCTGAAGATTCTTCTAATCATTTCTTTGTGTCTTGGGGGTCACACGCTGAGCTATGGCAGAAGGCAGGCCGCCTCATATTCTCCCTACTAGACGTGGCTTTCTCCGCGGTTCAAGGGGCATAATTCCGTTTCGTTCGGTGAAATGAAAAGGGTCGGCCGAGCCGAGCGGACAGGCGGGCGACTTTGATCTGGACAGAGACCAGATACGAGAGCAAGCGCAAAAGAGACAGCTTGAGTTGGGATTCATCTCCGAGCGTCCAAGACGTCTCGGGCTACCTTACACACCGCCGGGTCTTTCATTGAATGGGGTCTTCTCAGTGTGTCCCAGGATGGAGAGGAGATAGAGAGTCATGTTGCAGTGGCAAAAGGAGGGGGTGGGCACTGAGGGCTTGAGGACAACTCGAAGCAGACAGGCAGTCTGTTCTGGTGATGTGGAATGCATATTTATTGACATGTTTATTTTTATAGATCGCTATGGGTCTCCTAGACACATATGAGTACTGGGACAGACAAACACACACAGGCACAAAGTGACATGCATTGATTAGACATTGGAGTCTGTGAACCCAATGTACCGGGACTCAACACAACGGCCTGGCCCCCTTGACCTTGGCGAAGATGGATCCCAACGTATGGTGTGTAGTGCTCAGTATGCCGACCTGATCTCAGCCCTCAGTCCCCGAGCTCATGTCGTCTGCTCTGCATGACACCGGTGGGAGGCGGGCCGGGTCTGCTGTGAGTTCTCTTATCTCTCGTCCCAGATGCCGGGGAGAGGGGCGGATGCGTGCCGCTCAGCCCGTCTTAGCCTGCGTGCTGTTTGTTTTCTGCTAATAAAGTGGTCCGATAAGGTACCGTTTTTATCTCTCTACAAGCTAACGCTCGGTGCGCTCGGCACTTGGGGGATGGATCCACACAGTGCACGGTGATTTAGAGGGCAGGAATGGAGAGGAGGGCAACTGCCTGGGCTACAGGCGATAACAACGAGAAAAGAACCACTGTGGCGATCAGCCTTTATGCACGCAGTGCCTCTCCATTGGTAGATTATAACAGAAACATGTTCACTGCCTTAAGGAGATTTTTAAACAAAAGATCAAATGACTCTGGCATCATCAAGGGTGCAGGAAGTCAGATGCCCGTATTTTGCTGGACTCTGCGGCTTTGTGGCAACCTGAGTCCTATGGCGCCCCCTGGCCTCAACCCAGGGCTTTTCAGCAGTTCATGCATTGGTTGTGGGTCGGGGGCTGCTTCGCTTTTGTTGCTGTGCCTGTTTTATTAGCCACATTATAAGGCCACAAGACGAATGGGGACGTCACATTGGCCTTAGTGTCCATCTTACGCTGGGGACAGTGGTAATTGGGCTAAGGACATCTAATGGTCCTTAAGCATGTGATTTGTGACTTTTTAATGAGATTACAATGTAGGAGGGGCGGCGTGGGGGCCACGGTTTTGCTGTAATTGTTTTGGACAACCAATTCAAAGACCCAATCCCTCTCTCTACTAATCCCCTTACCTCTGTGCCTTCCTCATCAGTGCTGTGATTATCAGGACGTCATCGGCATTATGCCAAGAGGGGCACATTGTTAGGATGAAATGTTGATGCTGGTCTGTGAAGCCATGGGGAGACTGGGTGGTGGTTTCAGAGAAGGAGGAGGGCATTATGGGACTTTTACTAGGTGATTTTGGTTACCAACGACAACCAAGGTCCAAGAAAAACAAAGGGCGGATGGGACTCCATCCTCACCATGGCAACTACCCTCGTGGTGAGATGGGGCAGGTGTGTGGGGATAGTGGATGGAGCATGAGGAACTATGAACATCTCACTGATTCACAGATGCCAATAACAAATATGGTTGTTATTTACTATTGACTAATGGGCCATAATCCTGTATCTGCCAAAGCCAGTTTTCCTCCCCCCTTTCTCCGCACTAATCCCTCACTAATGTATTTTGCTTGCATGCTATGACTATTAATTTGTGGATCCCACCCCCCGAGTCACATCTCATCTTGTTCAACTGACTTATCGCACAAACGCTCTGCATAGCCCTGCCACTGGCTAGGTTCACATGCCGCGTGAGGACATTGGGAGACGTAGAGCACAGTGACCGATAAGCAGATCCCACGGCTGTATGCAAAGCCGCTATTGATGGTTCCATACTTTAGCATTTCCAATGAACAACAATAATAATAGCAATAATAATAATCAATAATTTATTTCACTGAGAAACATCAAAATCAGTATTTGGAAGTTATAAAATGTGATATATGATATAGAAATATGTAATTACTTGACAGGAACCAAGCTGTTCTTATCTCTCTCCCTCCCGTCCTCTTGTTTAAAATTTAAATTCATTTGAGTTTATCAGCTCTTTGCCGAGAAGCCAATCAGGTTCTGATTAGTGAACTAATTCATCCTTTCCCCTTCATTTTAAACTAACTTTGAACAAGTTTTATATTTTTTCTTTGTTTTAGTCATTTTAGTTAAAGTCTTTTTAATTCAGGAAAGAACAAAATTCCCTGAAGTGGGGTGTGCTGGTCCCCTCTGAGGAGCCCCGGAAGGCCAGGGGGAGATTGGGGCAGCCCTGCCAAATGCACCTCATTTTCCGAGATCCATCCTTATGTAGCTCAACTACAAAGAACACAAGTAAATTACACTAAAAACCAGCGCAACACAGGTCGTTACTGTAAGTGCAACACATTACACCTGCAACAATAAACCATGCCTAATGTGAATATCTCCCTGTTAATGAATGTTTCCTCTATGTCACTGCGAACAGCTACAGTTTCAGTGTAAATCAGGCCTCGCCATGTGGCTTTCTTAATTTGTTTTCATTACTATAATGCAGACATAATTATCTCATTTATTTATGCATTATATATGTAATAGGGGTTTGGCTGCATTCAGGACAATGGACATTTTGTAGCGGAGGATTTATACGTTTTAAATTAACCTAAATGAAATGGGCCACCTGCATTACTTGAGTCAATTTATGATAAAGTTCTTAAGAGAAAGTAATATTTTGGGGGGGTTTTTTATTCTCTTTTATTTTGCCTTTCAATTTAATCTTGCATTGAGACTGTAAGTAAAAGTCTATAACTAGTGAGTAATAAAACTAGCAATTGTAGTGGGAAATTATAATTACTCAAACTTGTGAAATGACAACCTAAGGCTGGGAATACAAGACTAACCAACCTTTTACTAAATGGATCCTCCACCATCTGGAGATTTTCAACGGAAAAGAAGAAGAAGAAAAAAACATATCCGTCTGAGTTTAATACTGTAGTTTATATGCATGAATATATCTCAAATGTTTTTTTGCAATCTGATTCCATGTCAGATCAGACAGACTGCCAGAATAGCAGGGTATGTCAGAGGCATGGATAATGAATTGTCAAAAATGTACACAGCGCCTAAATAAGTTTAAATATGTTTAGGACAGCAGAATGGTAGCTCTTAAGGACAAGAAAATTGGCAAATTAAAAAATAATAATTACCCAAACATTACGTGGAAATTTTTTCAGCTTAAACAAGATTGAAACTATTCTCGGTCTCTCCTCAAAAATAGCTTCTCTCTCATGTGTAATGCGTGTGAGCACCAGCCAGCTTATAATACTGTTCCCGGGAGACGCGTCTCTTATTCTTTGGTGAGACACCGTCAGATCACTGCAGCTCCATCTGCTGTGGACCTTCCAATTCGACTCTGTTCTGGAGAATGTGAATCCTGCTTACGGTGAAGGATACGGGGAGACAAGGCCAGAAGAGACAGGGCTGTGGTGTAATGAGGGTAACGTACGTGCGTGTGTGCGTCCCACAAGGGGAGGTCCTCCGAGTACCACACTGGCCAGAAACCATTCCCAAGACAAACCACTCCCTGGAATTCTATTTTTCCCTTATTCTAACAAAAGTAATGGCCCAAAAGATCACCCAACTACAGTAGGGAACTGTGTGTGATTGCAGGCTTGAGGTGAGTTAACACACGGGGCCAGTCGGTCATCATTCGAAAGTGCTCAAGACTATTAGTCGCCATTGGGGCAAGGGGGGGGGGGGGGGGGGGGCATACTGAGAAATGTCCAAAGCTCTGATAAACAAACACAGTTACAAAATGCTGCGACGTGGTGATCAACACATCTGGCAACAGAACACTACACTTCCTGGAATAAACCCTTCATATAGACCATGTCTCCTTCTCTTGGACGAATGGACAGATAAATTATCACCGGGTATAATAAAATTATTTTTAAAAAAAAACAAGAAATTAGCAAATCCCATGACTGGTAAGCTGTTGTCAAAGCCTTTTTAGCAGTTCAAAAGTTACCTAATTCAATAATTCACTTTCTGATACTTGGAACCTTTTCAAACCGACAGTCATCATTTCTGCTGATATACTGCCTGTCTTTTTTGTAAAAGACCATCATTTTTTTAATAAGTAAAAAAAGCACATAATAGTATATAACAGCAAAACACTTTAAACACAGTTTTATATGTCTTTCCAAATAGTGCAACATTTGTCAGGCCTTCCTGTGGCAGCTCGCCTGGGTATTTTCACTAAGCACCGTCCAAATTTCATAAAGGCTAAAAAAAAGGGGATGGAGTGGCTTTTCTTACCTGTGGGATACCGCTCAATGACAGGTAGGTCATCCACCTGCAGCGTGGCGTTACCACCACTCCGCGTAAACCGTACTACGTGGTACTTCCCGTCATTTACAAACTTTGTCGTCTCTTCGATGTAAATGTCGTCTGTCCCAACATTGAATACTACACCAATGTTTCCCTTCTCCTGTGGAAACAGGAAAAAACAAAAATGTATACTTTTTAGAATGGCAAGAAATTCTAAAGCACATACACCCCAGATACAAAAGACTAATTTGCAGAAAGAAGATGCTGATGACGATGATGGTGAATATAAACATTTATGCCCAATGGGCAATTTTAGGCTTAAAACCTTAACTGGGTGAAAGGCAAAACCAAAAAGATCCTTTTATTCCCATAGCACCTGCACAATAGACCACCGCTAACTTCATGCCTTCCTTCCCAAACTGATTTGATATAATTTCATCAAATTCAACTACTGCTTAAAAACTTTTGATCCACATTTTTGAACAAGCAGTAAGTTTCACCATCTGCTATAGTCGGAGTTGGCGGGAAGACATGGTTGACGGAAAACTATTATGAGAAGGTCAGGCTTTGAATTAAATAGCTAGACTTATTATAAGAATTGTGCATGATAAAATCTACAGGAAGCCATTTATTTATCGGATGTCTCCTTATATCAGCCCTGTGGTTCTAGGTGAACTGAAAGCCTGTTCCCTCTAAAGACTGGATATTATTTAACTTCCATTAGTTAGAAAGCAGCTAGACATTCATAGCTCTGTATGCATGTAAGGCCATGGCGGGTCACACTATAACACAGATTCATCTGGGTCTGGAAGACCGTGAACGAAGACCGGAGGCGTGGGGAAGCTGACGCCTCATGAGCAGGCCATGGCCGGCGGGGGATTCTGTGACCCGCACACGGCTATGCCCTTATCACAGACTGCGTTGTCTTATCTAAGCTAGCCTAACTGTGGCAGTGCAAACATGCACCTTTTTTCAGGATGCAGCTCACTGACAATTAAGACTCAGTCGGGGCCAAACAGCTTCCGGTACGGTAACAAAATTAAACAAAAGGCTGGCTGCACAGTAATTTAATTACTGATGTATTGGGATGCCGACCTGAAGTAACATTAAACTGACTGATTTTCTGAATATACACTGTTAATGGAGCCTTTAATTTCACTGGGAAAAAACAGCTTTTATATATTAATTACATTGCAACAAGAAGCTATGGTACTCATTATTCAGCTAATGACACACAAACCTTTGGTCAGCTCTGATCTTTTTCAGTTTAAACGTTCAAGTGCTTGCCAGTCGCCAGCCTCTTTGCAGACCCCGCGACCGGAGAGGTGCCCGCTTCGCCCACTTGGCCCGCACACGGACTCCCAGCTGCTAAACAGGATGCCTTTAGCGTGAGGCCCCTTTCTAACTCATTACCTCAGTGCATGCTGCAAACGTCCCACCCCTGAAGATTCCTCATGCCCTCACCGTCATAGATCCTCCCCACCTCAGCACTCTACATTTGAGGGCCTTAGCTTTAGCTGGCCGGATGCAGAGGAAGGAGATACAGGCACCCTGGGGCCTTTTCACAAATACGAATGTTGGTTCTCCAACATTTTTCTGAAGGTCTTAGGAGAAAACCCAAAATATGGATGCAGGGGTGAATAGGGGTAAAATCCTGAAGCTTTGGCTTCTGTGGGTCAGGGATTGTTATCTGGGTATCTTAAACTGGAAAAGGGAGGTGCGGAGTGTGTCCAGCAAACAACTGACTCAATAGTGGAGAGGTGGACCAATTAACACTCCCCGGCTGGGTGTGTTCAGGAGCATAGGGGAAAAGTGCCCAGTCGTACATAAATGCAGAAACAAAGCGCTACAGCACAACATGGAAGTTAGTCACAGAACTACATGCAAAGTATCATGGGAAAAAACGATTCCTGGCAAAACTGAAGTGTGTTTCCAGTCAGTTCTTATTAGTTGTATTTGACTTCAGCATGGTGGCATATACTTAATGCTGGAGCACGAATACAAAGCCAACTCTTCTTCCGGGTCAATGAGATTCAGTTAAATTTCAGCTTTCGCTGGCACTAATGAAAGCTCACTGACACCAAGACAGTCAACTAAAGAAAAAAGTTCCATACGGCCTCAGAGATAATTCCACCCCCCGCCCCCAAATAATCAGTTTTCCTTTGAGCTTTATCTTCGGTGCCGCCGTACAAGTCTGAGGCCTCTTTACCGTGCACGACAAACACATTCGTGCAGTAATGAGAGTGGATTACACGACTTAGGTGCCTGAACCCATTATAAATTATCCAGTCGAGTTGAGCAGCGCGGCACAAATCCTCGGCAAACAGCGATAAAGGGAACATCTGGCTGGAAGCTCAGCCTGGTGGCCGCAGTAGAGCGGGTGTCATTATCCAGTCAGCACCGCTTGGACTTGGCCAGTAGGGGGCTCTTCCAGAATGTCCGTCTAAGCCAGATGCTGCGTGAGATTAATTATATGTAGAAAAAAGCATACGAATGTGAAGAGCTTCAGAAAAGGGTCAATCAGTCATAAATCAATGGATAAAGTTCGATCAAGGTCCTCACAGGAAGAGGAGGAGCCTAAGGAGGCAGAAGTGGAAAGCAGGTTGGTTTCTACTGGGCATAAAATCAAGTCCACCAGTAGGTTAGACAAACCAGCATAAGCATTGGGGTCACTTAGTGTTAGCTGTGAGTAATTCTCTCCTCCTCCTCCTCTTCACCGCCATGGGCACGAAGGTTATCTAGAAACAAGACAGGGAAAACCCGGCTCCTCTTGCAGGGGCAAAAATTCTCAGGAGCGAAAGTCCAGTCTCCATGCCAGAGGAAGAGCAATGCGAGAGAAGTCACCCCCAGCACCCATTTCATCAATGTCAATGAACAGCTCTTGTTTGCCACATGAAAGAAACAACTGATTACCAAACTGGCAAGAACAGTCACCCATTCATAGTGGTCGTACTGTGTGTAAGCATCTCAGTGTATTTTCACATGTGCACAGAGAGCGAGGGAGAGAGTGAGAGATATACGATACAGAGGAAATATTTTATACCCTCACACCTGCACGCCTTGTTCTGAAGTGAATACTCTGGAAGAAAATACAGCTGTTGATGCAGAAACCACTTTGTCCTCTCAAGGATCCTTAAACTATAGGTGGGGCACCTACTTTCAAGGACTGTCAAATGCATAAAGAAACCTACTCATTTATATTTTTATAGGCCCATTACTTGAAGCACAAAAAAGAAAAAAAAAACAGATTTAGTGGCAGAAAAACCAATTAAAGTGTCGTTTTAATAGCTTCCTTCAATGGAGTTTTTAACACTCCCCTAAGTCTCCTTAATAAATTCAATGCATTTACTGGCAAAGCACCTATTCAATTTCCGCATTAAAGAATAGGGGTGAATAAACAGGGTCGGCCATTGGTTTGAAGACAGGTCCGCCAAAGAAAAGAGAAAGCAGAGTGGTCAGGTGCTTTGACCTGAGGGAGAACACCAAAATGGCGGCAGGCAAGGCTGGGCAGCTCCTGTGCGCAAACACTGCGGGGCTCCTCAGCCAGTGGAACTTTCTGGAAATTGCTCTACAACGCTACTCCCGTGCTGCCCCATTTGCCGCAATGTCACAAAAGTTGTTTTAAAACAGAAGGAACTTGGTGCCATATGGGTTTCCATAATGACCCCCCCCCCATTAACAAGCTTTTCTCATAGTTGTAGAAGTCAGCAAAGAAAGAGTGAGGGGAGAAAGATGCAGGATCAAGGTGAAGGACAACACCTGCCCCCCCACCCCCAGAAGGTCTCCTCTGGGTTATCTGATGCACTACACTGATAATGAATAACACTCCGCCACTAAGCAAAATGTCCTGATTAATAGTCATCGAGCCATAATTGAATTCAATTAACTGCTTATGTCCGCTGGAGCTTCGGCTTTCCATACCCTTCTAGCTAGACATTGTGTGTGTGAGGATATTGAAAAGATCTATCACTCCGCAGTGGGCAGTTAGCTGTCCATTACTCTAGCCATCCCTATACTATGACTATATACCATTAGCATACCTGTTATTAAAGGTGCTAATGCTAACAGGACAGACACCGATGTTGTCCCTGGCACTAGAGGGCACAGAGAAGCAGCCACCATGACTCCTGCCACCGTAGACCTGCGCTACCCACTCCCTTCACACTGCCGTGCATTGAAGCGGGTTTTAGACAGCTAAAAGCTCTGAAATGGCTCACGGTGAACACCAGCGAGGTTCCATCTTCAAGTGATTCTTGTGGAAGGGCATGAGAAGTCAAATAAAACACACCTAGGAAAAGATTAATCATGAGCTGAATTGGAAATTGAATTTACTCTGCGCCACAGCCTGCGGTGTAGCAGATGCAATCAAAGCACGGTGGATATTTGTGACCAATGATTCAGTGAGGTTGAGAACACACCAGACAGGCTTGAACCCCCCCTCCCAGCTGTGGGTGGATGTTGGGTGTTAAAATATAAGTGTGGAATTTTTTAACAGATGCTGATTAGGACGTTACATTCTTCAAATGAAGACAAATCTGCCAATTGTGTTTCATTAGACAGTCTTTGTATTTTAAACAGTGCAGAGTCAGACATTTTTTATTATAATAAGCGCATAACGCCCTGACCGCGATCTGGGTCCCGACACCTCAATCAGTCGGCTATTGCAGTATCTAGGCCCCGCCAGCTGTGCAAAGAGGCCCAGCGACTGATGTACCCCTGCCGACCCCCCATGGCCCCCCCACAAGTACACGGCAGATGTTTACGTGCTGAACGTGCCGACAGTTTGTGCCACTGTCAGGCTTCATCCTCCCAGCTACAGGAATCCACAGTCAGCGCCCCCCCAGCCATCTCCCGATGATGCTAAAACTTCACACTTCGCCCCTCATTTCGCGCCTGTGCAGGTGAGAGCTGCAGCCTCACCCTCTCAGACCGAGACACTGAATTCCCTTACCCCCACCTGCCAGACAGCCTCTGAGGACTGGTTCATGCTTACTACGGATGCAGACGCACCACAGCGGGCACCGTAGAGTCGGACCATCCGCGTTCCTGGATGCTGACACCTGGGGTAGCGCTGTAGAGCTAAGCTGCTCTTGTGTGACATTTATAAGGTGTGTTATGGATGCTATGAGAATAAACAAGCATTTTACTAAAACTAACGAT